AGAGCCTGGGCTGAGACCCCTGAGGATGGGAGAGCCAAGGACCGGGGGCTGCAGGCCACTGTGGGTGCTCTGTCCCCGGCATGGGGGCGGCCTGACCTCCTTGGGGGCAAATCCAGGCTCAGGAGGGATGCTTCAGCGACAGCTGTGGGCCAGGCCCAAGAGGGAGTCTTCCCTCCCAGGTGGTCAAGCCGGGGAGCAGATTCCTGAGCTGTGGGTGGGGTGGGAGCAGCCAGCTTCCTGGCGCCTCCCTCTCTTCTGCCGCTGGCCCAGGGCAGGGAGTGGAGGTGGGCATCTCGGGACTGGTCCTCGGGGGCACCTCTCTTTCTTCTGGAGGAGGGACCCTGCGGGGAGCCCACAGTGGCCTCAGCGGTCATCGGATGCCTGGGGCCCTCCCCACCTGCCGTGAGATTCTCAGCCCCCGGAGGTCCGGGGAGGTGGCCCTGCTTCCTGCAGCCACCCCAGAAGGCTGTGTGGCCGGGCCATACAGGGCCTCTGTGACCCGCTGCCCACAGCTGTCCCCTGGTGTCAGTGCTCAGCTGACTGAGGCCCCATTAGGGCCGCACAGCAGGTGCGGGGTGCGCCCTGCCAGGCGGGGCTTTCTTCCTGGCCCTCTCAGCTGGACCTGGGCTCAAGCCACTGCTCTGGGCGGGGTCCCAGCCATGTGGCTGCATTCACCTCTCCAGGCCTCGGGGGGCCACCCATTACTGCCTTTGGGTGCAGGCCACAGGCGGACCTCTCTTTCCTGCCCACCCCGGCTCTTCCAGAAGCACCCACATCCCTCTTGGACCTCGGGCAGGCCACTGGCCCTGCCCCACCCCTGCCCAGGGCACTCCTGGGGCGCTGGGCCATGGCTAGGAGTGCAGGGGCCGTGTGAAGGGCCCTTGGGCGAGTGTCCCCACGCGGTGTTTGTCAGAGCTGAGGCCACGTCTGTCCCCTCTAGGGGAGCAGCTGAGAATCAGAGGCTCTGCCCAGACCTCACCCAGGGAGGCAGCTGCAGGCCTGGGCCTCCCTGCCCCCCACCCCAGCTTCCAGAAATGAGCAGATTTGGGTCCCAGAGAGCAAGCGGGGCCTGGAATCATCGTCCCGGGCTGTGGGCTGGTGAGGGGGCCCCATGGAAGCAGAGGAGGGGTCCTGGGGGGGAGGAGAGTCACAGGGAGCTGGCGTGAGGTCCCAGGTCCCAGGTGTGCTGGTGCCCTGGATGGGACGCCGGGCGGGGTGCTGGCATCCTCCCTGCATGTCCCCTAGCCACCACCCTCTGGCCGCCCACTGGCCACTGACTGCGGACGGTCCACAGGTGCAGTCCCTGCACAGCCTTCATGAGAATGGCGCGCTGGTGCCGCTGGGCGACACGCTGTACCTGACGGGCGGCCGCTGGCAGGGCATGGACGGCGACTACCACGTGGAGATGGAGGCCTACGACCCTAGGCGGGATGCCTGGGTCCGCCACGGTGCCCTGCCCCGCCTCTGGCTCTACCACTGCGCCTCCACCGTCTTTCTGGACGTGTCCATGTGGACCCAGCCCTTCAGCCACGCCCAGGAGCACTGAGCTGCCCCTCGGCTCCTCCTCACACCTGGAGGCCGCCTGCTGACCCCCCGTGGAAGTTCCCCCATTTATTTTTGCTTGTTTGTTCACCTGGCTGGGGCTGGGCTCAGGCGACCAGGGACGTCAGAGGGACATGGTCCTGGTCTCCGCGGCCACCACACCAACTCTGAGCTGACCAGCGGCAGGGGCCCACAGGGGTGTCTGAGGCCTCAGAAGAGGAGCTGAGTGTCCGGGAAGCATTGTGAGAGCTCAGTGGGCTGGCCCTGCAGAGGAAGCTGCACAAATGAGGGGTGACGCAGAGTGGCCAGGACACTGAAGCTGCTGGGGAGGGTGAGCGGCCTGGCCCCCAGCTGTGTGATCACGGCCAGCAGCCATCCTCTCCAGGACTAAGGCTCAGATCCAGGGCCCACGAGCCAGCTCAGGTGGGCTGTTGGCTCGCCCGCCCCCTACCCCCAACCTCTGCATGTTGGCACCTTGTTCCCAAGGCTGCTTCTGGGGACAAAGGAGGACTCCCCCCAGCTTTTCTGTGTCACACCCTAGGAGGGCAGCACCCAACCAACACACTGGAAGGAAGGAATCGGTTGTGGTGACGGGAGAGGGGGTCCTGCCTGCGCAGGGCTGGGGGAGGTCAGCGAAGGCTTCCAGGGAGGTGAGCAGGAGGGTGTGCTCTGGCCAGGGTTTCCCATTTCGTGGGTGGTTTACTTCCATACAGAGGCTCTTCATCAGAGTGGATGTCCCCAACAGGAGGCCCATGGTGGGATGGGGTGGGGGCGTGGGAACCTGGGGCAGGGATTTCCGGGGATGCCTCTTGGGCACATTGGTGGCTGACTGCCAGGCAGCCTCCTGAGCATTGGCAGTGCCCAATGGGCTCCTGCCAGCATGTAGCGGGAGTCAGGGTGGCTCAGGCCCGCCCCTAGGTCCCCGAGTCTGACAGGTCCCATGTAGAGCTGTCTCAGGCTACCTGCTCCTTACTGGTTCTGAATGAGGCACTGTCACCAAGGGGACAATGAAGGACTGTCACTGGGTGCTGTGTGGCCCTCCAGCTTTGTTACAGCTCTGTCAGGGACACAGGCCTGCAGGTGAGGGTCCTGGGCCCAGCCTGGCTCCAGCCTGACTGCCTGGCTGAGACCCCAGGTAGCTCCAGTCTCTCTCCCTCTAGCCTGGGGCTCCTCTCTAGGGCCAACCCTCAGGCTCCTCCTTGAACCCCACCTGGGAGCAGAGGCACCTCCAGCATCCTGGCTCTGAGGACGGCCCCTGGGCCCCCAGCTTCCGTAGATCAGACCCACTCTGCTCCCAGACCTGACTCCTCACAGCCATTTCTCATGGGGGAAGGAGTTTGCCCCAGGCCTCCGATGCTGAGGGGCCCCTGGACGTCTGCTCCCAGCCCAGGACCCAGGACCCCTACTCGGCTGGCAGCGTGGGTGGAAATGATGAAATGAGGATTCTGGAGCACGTTTTCCAGACAGTTATTGAAGGTGCTCAGCCAAGCGCTGTTTCAAAACAAAGACTCAGAGGTGGAAGTTGACTCACTTTGATCACAAATAAGCGGTTGAAGAGCTGTGTCCTGGAATTTAGGGTGCTTTCTGCTCCTGCTCACCCTTGGCAGTGCCCAGTCAGGCCAGCTGTACCCTTCAGGGTCCCGGAGGAAACACGTGACCCCTCAAATTGAGAGACGGAAGCGGGTTTAATGAAGGGCTTTTCCCAGGTGTGGGCAAGGGCAGGAGAGGCTCCCAGGGCCCGCGGAGTGGGCACCACGTCTCCCTCAGGGACAAGGGGGGAGCAGATGCAGACTCCAGAGAGAGCTGGGCGGAGAGGGCCTGGGAGGAGCTGGGCCTTCTCTAAAGGAACGTAGCCACTCCCAACCCAGCTGGGCGGACCTGGGGGACTGGGGACCCAACCTCACTCCCGTTTCTGCCCCCGAGTCTCCCAGTCGTGCCTCCCCCACCAAACCCAACTAGAATCAGAGAGAAGACAGGCTGCTGACACTGTGTGGAGAGGCCAGCCGAGGGGGCAGACAGCAGGCGGGAAGGGTGGACAGGGCAGCCCATGGAAGCTCTGTAGCTACCACTGAACACTCACGAGATTCTCGTGTGAAAGGACACGTCGAATTCATGCAAGGGGTGTCCCTGGAGCAAGCCAAGCCCTCCTCTTCCCTTATCAAAGTCCCCAGGGATACAAGGACTCTAGAAGGTTTGGGGCTACTGTGGGCTTCCAGAAAGGGGGGTGGACAGCCCGGGGACATGTGCAAAAGCCCACCAAACTCAGGCCCCGGGGGTAGGGTGGGAAACCACCTCCCTAGCCCCAGAGTGCTCATGTCTGCCAGGTGGGTGTGTGCTGTCTTTCCCAGACAATGTTGGGTAAACTGAGGCACCCCCCACCCAGCAGACCCAGCCTTCAGCGAGCACAGTGTCCTCCGTAGCCAGGCCCAGCACAGCCAGCTTGGGCTCGGCTCCCTTAAGATCCCAGGTGAGCCAGGGCCTGGGGATGTTTCCTGCCACTTCCATCGGGCTTGGGTTTTCTAGGATATCCCGGACAAGACCCTTTTATTATTGGGTTTCTTCCCTGGACTAGGCAGGGATAGTGATTGCTGGAATCAGGCAGCTGACACTCCCACGAAAATGTTTGTAATTCAATGAACCAGTCACACGACAGCTCCATTTCGACCATCACCACTTGGCAGGTTGACCAGCTGGCCCAGTAGAAACTACAGCAGGTTCTTGAATAATGTTGTTTCATTCAGTGTCTTTTCATTATAATGTTGATGAGATGCCATAAGAATTGACTCTTGTTTGTATCAGTTAGCATATGACAATAATCTGTGAGTGACCCGCCGAGGGGTGGTCGCAGCCACATCAGTGGGGAGGGTGCTCACTCCCCCGGGGCTGTCCCTGGGCCCAGCGTGGAGCTGGACACTCAGCCGGAAGCCTGGCTGCTGTTGGTCCTACCAAGCCCACAGCGCCGGGCACAGGGGGCAGCCAGGCGGGCATGGCGCTGGCGAGGGAAGCGTGGTGTGGGTTGTGATGAGCCCTTCGTGGAGGAAGTGCTGCCCTGTATGGAATGCGCACCCAGGAGCCCACGTGAGTCCCTCGAAGCTGATCGACTGTCCCAGGGTTTCTCAGGGCCGGGGGCTGGGGTGATTTTGGTCACAGCCAACTTTGGCTCAGCGCCCCTGGGTTCCCAGGTGGGCCACGATCGCATGCAAGAATTTGATTCTTACCCACATGGCCAACATAGCCGCTGGTATCTACCCTTGTGCATTCAATGGAGAGGCGAACTAAAGTGTAATTTTTAAAATTAATCTATTGGGAACGTGATAATGTTACCAGTGAGATCACGAGACCTCGGTTCTTGTCTTGAAGGAAGAGCTCAGTCAAGAGACAAAGTGCAGCAAAGCGAGAGTTTGTCGGCTGCGGCAGAGCAGCCTCGGACGGGACGGTTATTAAAGCTGGGACCCTGGAGCCAGGGCGGGCTCAGCACAGAAGCCCCAGGAGAGCCCGGCCGGGCTGTGGTGGCTCCCTGGGAAGCCAGAGGAAAGGGGACTTGGGGACAGGTCCAGGGGGTTGGCCCCGGACGAGCCGCCAACGCCCATTGCTCCCCTGGTTGCAAGTCTTGTGGGGTCCCTTAGAGGGAAGAAGGGGGGACGGCGCAGGTGTGCTCCCCAGAGGGAGGGGTGCCCTGGACCCTTTGTGTGGGGCGTAGTTATCTCTCTCCTGCAGGTGGGAATCTTAGGGGAGGTCTCAGGGGAGGGTTTCAGCAGAATATCGATCAGCTCTCCAGGTGCTTTTCGGGGTCGTGGGCCCCACTGATTGGTCAGCGCCCAGGCAGGGGGTCATTAGTCGGTGCAGCTGGTCCTGAGGCAGCCACGGGGCCACTTGTTTGGTTTTTCTGGGCCTGGAGCCAAAATACAACTGAGGCCTAGATGTTATCTTTAGGGAGGAACACTCCAGGGTCTAAACCACAGGACCAGCAATATGCTGGGGAGGGAAGGTCACCCTGGGGCGAGGTTCTTGTTTTCCCAGCTCTGCCCCTTGCTAGGCGCCCGGGGCCTCCTGCCCTGGTGACCTTCTGTACCTGGCCGGAGGTCCCTACTCTGCTCGCGTCTATCTAACTGCCTATCACAATAACAATTCACAGAAAATAGCCCAAGGGACACCCTGGACAGAAGTGAGTAAGTCGAGATTGCCGGGGGACAGGTCAGGAGGGGCTGACTCCTGGCCCCTGACCCTGATCCTGACATGCTGCCTGCAGGGCTGAGTTCGAATGGAGCTGAATCAAACTGAGCCTGTGGGCTCCTCAGAGACACCGACTTTAAGCTGTGGGGACCGGACCTGGAGGAGGTTCCACTGGGGCCAGTCCAGAGCTCTGAGCCTCGGTGTCCTCATCTGAGCAAGGGGGTCAGTCACATGATTGGAGAACTGAATGATGTCACCTGCTGGAAAGGCTCTGCAAACAGCAGAAGTCTCCTGCCTGAACCCCGGAGCCCACACAGCAAGTTGACTTCAGGCTCCCACTGTTTTTGGGGGCAAAGGGAGCCTTCATTCCCATGACTTCATCCGCAAAGGTCCTTCCCCTGGAGGCAGAGAGGGAACAGCTAGACCCGTCAGGCCACTGGCGCCAGGGCTGAGCAGTGACCTGAGGGCTGGAGAATGAGGGTCAGGTTTCTGCTGGGCTGGAGCGAGCGGGAGAGGCCACCTAGTGCTCCGCTGTGCCCCTTTCTTTGACCCCCTCACTCAGCACCTCCACCCTGGGTCTGCTCCCCCTTACTCCCCCACCCCACCCCGTGTTGCCCCAACTGTGGCTGGCGGGCTGCTGCGGGGGAGGGGTGTCTGGTGCCGTTTGAACCGTTTCTGGGAGTCCCCGGCCTGTGTGATTCTTTGCAATGCCCGACCTCCTCTGACCAAAGTGGGTTTTGATCCATGACCCCGGGGACACGTGGGGAGACCCCCTGAAGGCCCCCGCCCTCCGCCCTCCCCTGTCCTGGCCAGGCCGTGTCGTCACCTCGGATAGGGTTACAGGCACTGCCCCAGTAGCAGAACCAATTTGATTTGGGTCCTCGATGGGGCCCGTGACGTCACCAGGACTGTTCACTGTCTGGGAAAATCACTGTTTTCACACGGCAGCCGCTCCTGCCTGGGCGCCGGCTTCGGGCCGCGGCAGCCCCTCGCCATGAGGAGGAAAGGATGCCACGCTAGCATCTTAAGGACCGCGGGGGCCTCGAATTGGGCCTCTCTGTCCCCACACCTTCCGGTGTTGCCACGGTGGCAGAGCCTGAGCCTCACCTTCCCAGGGTGCAGGTTGGCCCATGTGGCACCTGACCCTGAGAGCAGCCTGTGTGGTGCCCTGTGGACAGGATCCCAGAAGCGGGTCCCGAAGCATCCTGGCCTGGACGCTGGGGGTGAGCATTGCCACCTCCTTCCCCCTGGCCTAGGCCTTGCCTGCTCGCACCTCACTTAGGAGTGGTCCCCAGACAAGTGTTCAGGGCCACCAGACGTTATCACGCCCACTTTACAAACCAGCAAACTGAGCCTCGGGGGGCCTGCATGCGCCTCCTCAAAGCCCCCCATGTGCAGCTGGCCATGCAAGGACCCGGTGTGCTGAGCAGACCCGCTGCTGGTCTGTGCTGGGCTCCAACCACGCTCGGCCATGGCCCCT